CCCGGATGTCCAGTTGCGAGAACTCAAGAAGGTGTGGACGGATGAGCTAGTCATCGAAGAGGCTTGGAGGAACTTCGTGGTCATGCTGCGGTCCGAATGGGAAGATTTCATTCTAAATGTGAGCTGCATTTTGCGTTTCTTGAGATCCAAAAATGCCCAGTTTGACCCGCAATACTTATAGTTGACAGTTATGCTCGCTGCAAATGTTAGTTTCCTTTCGGTCCCAGGCGTCATTCCTGATGAAACATGGGCCAAACCATCGACTGCTCAAGTTGCGAGTTGCGTGTCATTGGTGTTTAGCATTGGGGGTATCATTTCGGGTTTGCTGCTGATCCGCAGCACTCGTACATTGGCGGGGAATGACACTGGAACTGCAGTGCGCCGATCCTATCCCACTCGATGGGTTGCTTGCTAATGGTACTCAGTGGAAGTACTTGGATAGCAAGAAGAGGCGGTACTTTTACCTCGAGCCCTTAGCCACCATATACAGCCTACCGTATGGTCTACTGATGTGGTCGTGCGTAGTCCTATACCCCCGTCCACGGTCTCCTGTCAATGGCTAATTTTCTCAGTGTCTGCACGTTCTTTATTGCCCTTTTACTTCTAACATTCTCGAAAACGAGGGAGGAGATTCGGGTCTCCTTGGGAGTCACAGTAGGATTGGTCGGGCTCTTCATAATCTCGTGCGTCGTAATTTTGTGGGACCAGGGTGATGAAGATTCGGAATATTCAGATTTCCTACTCTGGGACGAGTAAAACACCGATTAAAAAGGCTGATTGTCGTTTTTTACTCGGTTTACGATGGTGCTATCCTTTCTCAACTGCATTTGAAAGATATCGCAAATTTTATGCCGTCTCTTCTATGCTGCCATGCCGACGTTGATCAATTCGTTCAGATACATAGTGCTACCCTTCTTGATTGTGACACTGATCGGGTCGATGAGTCGATTGGTGAAGATAGGCGAGCCAGCTCCCAGAACAACAGGACGGAAATCAGACCCCACAGCCCTTGTCCGCTGAAGTCTGCTGACACTGTGGCCTCTGTGTTCTTATACAGAACCTTGATGCATCCGAAGATCCTGAAGCGGGTGCTAGGCTACGACGCCATGCACCCGCGGATCTGCCCCGCGATCCTAACTGTCCCACCATGCCTCGTGTTGGAGTTGAGACATCAAGGCAAATCACAACACAGGACCAGTCACACGCGGCACAAAGTCGAGGTACGTTCAAGTTGGCCTGCGGTTTGGGCCTCCCGCGAGCCCCACTGGCATACATCCCATGGAGCCGTCGTCGCCAGGGAACAGCACCTCACTCACCCGGATAACCGCCAAGATGCTCCCGCAGACGTCATAGTTCGCAGATTACCCCCGCCATCTGCCGTCCAAACAGAGCAAGACAAGACGCTCCTCGGACATGAGCTCGCTCAACCCGGAGGAGGATAGCGTCCGCGGCACGCTCGTCGCGGGTCTCACCGCAAGGGACATCGCGCTCCTACTCTTCCCGTGTCATGCTGACGGGGGAAACAGCAATACGTCCGTTCGTTTGTGACCGCTCATCCTCTCGGCCCATTCGCAGCAGTTCCGGTAGAGGCAAAAGTGACGACGTCCGACGCGGTGGCGGGTCACCTCGTCCCCGCTGCGCTTCTCCCACTCGAATCGACCGGCGTGCTCGCGCAGCCCATTCCAGCACTGGCGTACGTGGGGTGTCTGGACGATGGCCTCGAGAAGGAGCCTTGGTCCTTCGACGAGATTTTCAGAAAGAACGAGTAGAAATGGATAGGCGAAAGTGCATGGAGGTAAGACTACGATGAAGATGAAGTGGACGTGGTGAGGGATAGGGTTGAATGGGCAGATCATTCCGAGAGAAGCATAGCGTTGACATGAATGACTCGTTCTCTCACGCGCGCTGGGCATGCGTTGGTGAACGAAGGTGATATCCAGTGTTGTTAGTTTTACAACCCTTGTACTCGGCACACGCGACTGCATCAGAATAGAGGTTATCTCAGTACTCGCCAAATTTGACGTGCCCCGTCTCAGACGCGTGCGCGCGGGCCCCCTTCTCTCCCTTCAGCCCCTGCCCACACACCTGGTACCGAGACAAAATCCAAGCCATCAACCACATGTCCTCTCAACACGAACAACAAAAACGCGGGACATACCTCGCACCTCAGATCGAAAGTGGCGGTATTTGTGAATGCGCGTTTCGCCCGCAGCTTCGTCGCAAGTGCGCGCAGCGCCTCAAGCACCCGCTCGCCCTCCGCGCCCTCCGCGGGGACGACACTCGCGCAGAATTCCTGGGGCGCGTCGGGCGTCGGAGCGAGCACCGCAGCGTCGTAGTGGATGCCGGAGTATATGAGCAGCGCGCGGCTCTCGCCCGCACCGTCGTTGGAGCCGAAAGTGTCGACGCGGCCGGTCTCGACATCAATGCTCGCGATTTCGGTGCCATAGTGCGTAGCGAGGATGGTGAGCTCGATGGCGCCGCCCCAGGAATTCGGGGAGAGAATCGTGCGGATGTACTCGTCGCGCGGACGCCTAATCGGAAGCACGACGACGGAAACAAAGTGCCCTGATAATTAGATCGATGCACGGACGAAAGTGGGAGATGCGCTCGTTACCCGAGGATGACATCACTCCAGGTTTCCGCGTCCCTGCGAATCGCCTCTGCTACGACTGCCAGAGGGGTGAGAACACGAGATCCAACTGAACCGATACGCGGCGACATACTCTGCCGGATTGCAGGTGCCTTTCGCATGTCCTGCTCGAAGACGAGTGCGACAGAGGCAAACATACAGGAGTTGTCATCTGGCACAATCTCCAAAAAAAAAACTGCCCTCAGAGGGGATGCTCCCTGCACGCGGTCGGACAGTGAGACGCACCCGATGAATCAGATAACCGCCATCCACCTCGACGTAATCGGGACCATCTTTTTTTGGTGTCGAAGACGCCGGCGTAGCCTGTGCTGCATTCGACGATGGTGTAGAACGGGATGTGGTACCGCGCGCGTCCGCAGGCAATGACAATGACGGCGCCCTGTTCGTGACGCCCGGAGACGCCGCGGAGCCAGACTTTTGGTTGACGATCAATTGATCACCGGGCGCTAGACCAAGACTGGAGAGCGGGAGTTCGGGGATGACCGCTGTGAGAGGCCGCGGTGGGTATCCTACTTTGACTGTGACACATGTGGGTAAGTGAGATGGGGCGAGGCAAGGTCATCGGCGGGCGCACGATCTTGGGCAGATGGCAGGATCTCGGATACTGCGAATATGGCTTGGAGGAGATCCTGCACCGTGGCGGCCTCTGTGTCGAGTTGTAGAGTTGAGACGCCTTTCGGGTGTCGCAAGCGAAAGGGAGCCATCGTTGCCCTCTGCAGTGCAGGCTCGTGCACTCGGTCTGAAGGTAGATTTCCTTTTCGGGCCATGTGCCCACCCGGCACAAATATTTTTAATTCAGAAGGACGTAAATTAAAGTCTGGACCTGCAATCTCAGTCTTCGTCTTCATCTTCACCTTCATCTTCGTCTTCATCGTCCTCATCTGCGTCTATGGACATACCACCACCTCCAACAACAATCGCTATATTCTCATCTCCATCCTCGTCCTCCATTTTGACCAGTCGAAGGCTGGGCCCCCAGATGAACCAGTATCCGATCGACCCAACGACGGCAAGGCTGATCCAGCGCCACCGCATGCGTTCGAATCGCTTCTCCTCTTCGCTTTTGGGAGGCCGTGGTTCATTCCACCAAGAGTGGAAGCTTGGGTAGGGTAGCAGCGCGGTCAGTTTATATCGCTCTGGCACAAGCACCCGCGCGGTGGGCATTGCGGCGCTGAGCACGCGACGTGCATGCGAGATGAGCGCGGGGTACGACGAGCTGAGAAGCGACGAGATCAATGTGTCCGGGAGCGGCGCTTGAATAAGAGGCAGGACATGGGCGGCTAGTGACAGATCCAGCATCGTTGGCCTGCAAGGGTCCTGTCAGCCCAGCAAGCCAAAGGGATATCGCTGTCATCGCACACCTATTATAAAAGAAAAAGTTCTTGTCACCCAGTAGTCTCGCGTAGAGATCAAATGCTGCGCGCGACTTTTCTAAGACCTGGTACAATTCAGGTTGGATCAGACCGGCGGTTTTTGGAACACAACTCGCTTGACCCACCCGCTCGCGCTGAAATGCGCTGTGAAATATACTCTTTGGATCGACCTTCTCTTTCTCTTTCTCTCCAAAGCGCTTCGGCTTCTCAACTTCAGACTCCTCCGTAGATGTACTCCATAGTCCATTGGCCTCAAGGCGGGTCTGATATGCCTGGCGGATGCGACGAGGAACGTAATAAGATTGTGGGGGTTTGTAAAAGGAGGATAAGGTGGGATGCGTGACAGCAGCATAGTTTGCGGGTACAGTATAGAATGCATGGGCCTGAAAGAGTCACATATTATTATTACGCCCTGGAATTTGTGCAAGTTATGGCAACGCACCACAAGGTCCCCGAGGGCTGATTCGATGTGAGCAATCCATGCAGTGCGTTGTGCACGCTCCGTGGGGCTGAGCAACGCGTCGACGTCAGCGGAAAAAGCGGGCTCGGGTGCTTCAGCCTCGATGACGGGAGGCAGGGAGGTGGGGGTCAGAACTGCAACATATTTCACGATGGAGGAGAGAGGCGCCACAGAATGATGGCCATGTGTCAGATACGGCAGTTGGCCTGCAAAGAGCGCTTCAGCACGCAAGGTAGCAGCATGTCGGCTGGCACTGACCTACCGCTGGGGGACGCGTCTGGGTTGGTGCATTCCTGGATTGAAAAGCGGCCTGGCAGCGCGAGCTGAAGGCAGAACGCGGCTGCGATGGAGGAGGGTTCGATGGAGGGAAGACCCCACTTTGAGGGCCATATGTGCAGTGTCAGTGTCTGTGCTGAAGGACTCATTGACTCTGACTGTAAGCGAAGCGGGAGCGGGTGAAGGAGAGTTGGTGACAGGCTTGGCACATGTGATCGGACAGAGTGAGAATTAAAGTCATGACACTATGGCCGAGTGGTTAAGGCGACAGATTCGAATCCCATTGCTATCTGTTTCCCTATGGGAGCGCAGGTTCAAATCCTGCTGGTGTCGTCTTTTTTGATAATTCTTCGATCATCGCTCATTTGTGCATACATCTACAACGGGTCTGTCGACCATCTTTCAGAACCAGATAATGGAGGTCCAAGCTCACTACGGGTGTACGGAAAACAAAGAAAGATGCAACTGCGTAAAGAGCTTCTCGAATGGCGTGCTCGCAGTAGGAATCAAGCTAATCAAGTCTCGAACTTCCAAGAGTTTCGAAGCCAAAAATTAAAAGGGAGAATCGAGCCTCCCTCGATAATGCATGTATTTTTTTTTTTTTTTTTTTTTTTTTTGAATCCGAATTTATATCCCGCGCGCGTACGACAAGGTACAGAGGCGGTCACATAGGTATCTACGTATTAAGCTTAGGCGGTGTGTGGTAATGGAAATGGTCGGGGTTAACGACGTCTGGCAGCAATAGGGAGGGAGGTTGGTGGTGGTCGGTTAAGTGGTATCGTCCAGGGCAACAGCCCCGGGGCATTTCTCGGTGAATACATCTCAGCCCGGGTTCCATACCGCCCGTGGCTTCGCGCACGCTCCGGTCTCCTCGAGGAAGCGAAGCAGTGCTTGCACTCGCTTTGGGTGATTGAAGAGTTGGGACAGATTCCGGGGGCGGCCGCCCACTGTGAGGTGTTTGCGGCGCGCTTCGTTGTAGAGCGGACAAACCATGAGGATGTGCTCGATAGTTTGGATCGGCTCACCACACTGGCAAGCGATCTGCTCCGGGGTGTGATTTGGGAAAAAACGTTGGGTGTATGCTCCTGAAAAGGCATGTCCCGTGATTATCCTGTATAAAGTGCATACAGTGGCCCTAGAGAACTTAGCTGTCTTTGCTACCCGGTTAGGGGGGGTAGCGTTCCTTGTGTTACGTTGCGTTGGGTGTTTCGCGCGCTTCCGGGTGGCCTGGAATGTCGGGTGAGGCTTCCCGTCCGGTGGTCTGGTGAGCGCGGTTTGGTATGCGAAGGACGTGCGCGGCGCTTGGAGCCAGCGCTGATAATGCATGTATGCTCCAACGAACTTGTGTCTCAGAATATCGGAAAGTAGGACGCATTTTTTTTACCTCGATGAGTGATAAGCGATAAGCCCTTACCGAGCGCAGGACTTGACGCTGGACGAGCAGCGTCAGTCCCGGTTTGCGAAATTTCGCAGCCTGTAGTCTACTGAAGGGCATCTGCAAGACGAAGCGTGTGTGGCCGACGAGCATGACTAGTAGCACGGTCAATGACGTCTTTGTCCGTAAGCGCGCAGTCGACGCGATGATAGAATGGGTCGTCGTAGCTGGAAGTGGGACTAGCAAGAGAGATCAAGCCTTGAGAGTCGGCACGTACTTGAGAGTCTTTGAGAAAATGCCCCTCTCCAACTTGATGCTCGTCATCCAAGCTGCGTTGATTTCCCCCATCATGGCAATCTCGAATGCAGGTCGCTCCGATATCACTGGCACGTCCATGTCTCGATGCCGGCCGCGATTGCAGACGGGGTAAAGACCTCGAAAGGTAAAGGGACCATGTAGTACATTAGTACTATAGTGACACTAACCTTCCCGCCCAGCAAGGCGTAGGCCGGCTATTTCGCCCGTGTAATACGCCTTCGATGCAATTTGACTAGTTACAATCTTGGCGCGATCCGGCTTGTGTTTGGAAAGCGCAGCAAGGGAAGCTATGTAATAGTGAATGATATGGATATGGAAACAGGAGCTTTGATAATGCGTACTAGTACAAAGCCGTTGTACAGGTCCAATAGCCTTTCCGTAATTCTCGGCAATTGAGGCACTGAGATCGACAGTGTCGATGGGGGAGAGTGATTGATTCACAGCGAGGTATTTCTTAGAGGGACGTTAAGCTTTGCAAAGAGTAGGTATGGAAATAGATACCTAGAGAGTAGACTGTAATTCCATGGGAGCGCGACTGAGCCCAAGCTCGAACCATTGACCAGAATTACGCTGCAAGTTGACAAGAATTTCATCACTAGTCTTATAGTCATCGAGAAGTTGAAGAGTTATGTCCATCCGATCAGAATGGAATTCGTAGGTCGGATTGTACTGCAACGATAGCTTAACAAGATACGCTGCGCGACAACCGGAGACTTACTTCGTCCAGTCACACATTTTCACCCTCGCATGAACGGCATTGAACGCCGAAGTAACGTAAGAACTTGGAGGATAGAAAACACAAGTGGAGGTTACACATGAGCGATGGGAAAAACGTGCTGAGCCTGTGGAGATATTTGGACGCTACAGTGCGTGCCTTGACGACACGGTGTGCTGCCGGTTAGCAGGACTTGCAGTCAAAGGTTCGCCCAGTAGTTCCCCCGGTAATGATTGGCCAGAGATGAAGGGAGACCAGTAGCAGCACGCATTCCCTAACTAAATCACGCATGGTTAGAAGGAGAATGACTTCGCTGGGAGACAGAGATCCTATCTCCTGTGTCGGTACAGTAAGCGCCGTAAGCACTTGTTGAGCAAGCTGCGATGTTTCGGTATGACATACCAAACCGTCATGTACCACACATGATAGATAAACAAAAGAACTCACGCCGTGCACGTATTCCTGCCGAATGGACGAATTATGATTATGCTCGATGTCACCAACAAGCAAGTCATTGACCTCCTCCAACACCAGGGCAGCGCCACTCCATCGCCGAGCCACCCTTCTCATCAGCGACGGTAAACTGGAATAGGGTACAAAGGAATCACATATTGCGAAACAAGGCTACCAGTCGGAGATGAGCCGAAGCGGGAATTAAGGTCAGCATGGCTCAGAAGGGCATCGATGGGTAGCAGAAGAGAGACAAGCCATTCAGCCAAATCTTCCGACTTCATGTATCGGTTCTGGACGGAAGCCTTTTGGACAGCGATTCCTTTGTCCCTGAACAAGAGGAGTTCCTGTAAATAGACGGAGTAGAACTCCGGTCGCTGGTCCAACTCGTACGTGAGTCCAGTCTCAGGCTGTGCGGCCAGAATCTTCGGAAGATTATTCTGGGGAAGATCAGCAGGACCCTGAGAAAGGCCTTGCCATATCGTTCGAGAACCTTGGATCTTAAGAGTGCATAGAGAGAGGCTGAGATGAGAGAATGCCTTTATAATGTCCAAAAATGACGACTCGGGAGCCTTCAATGCCAGATCCACCAGATTGTGAGCGACGGCAGCCTCAGCATATGGTTCAGAAATCCGAAGCCGTTTTATGAGCGTCGCAGTTGTTAATTTTGTGGCCTGTGTAGTCGATTTCAAACAGAATTGCTTTGATGCCAAGCACCGCACTCACGTCATCACGCTTGAATTCAAGAGCAAGTCTTGATACCACCGATATTGTACTGGTGGTAATAAGTCGTCTCCTCTCCTCCGTGCGGTCATGAGTATTGAGTAACTGTGTCGGTGAAGTGCAGAGTGGCGCGATCTGAATGTACCGCCCCGCGTTCGCCGTTCAAAACGGAAAAGAGGCCGCATGGCAGGATTTATGCATGTTATGTGGCGCGCTCCTTGCTCGCTGCGGCAACGTAATTCAGCAGTGAGTACATGTCTGATATGGTTAGGTCGTCCGTCACCCGGTGCCAACTATCTTGGGTGATAAAAAGATAAGCAGAGGATAAGTGCCAGATACCTGGGTGCACAATGCGAGACCATTGGCAACAGAATTCCGATCTGAAGCACGACGGCTGGCTCCGACGCGGCCACCACGGCCGGCACTAGTAGCACCACTGATCATCCACCACCAGCATGGCCTTGTCATCATGTCGTCGTCTGCGTCCACCCCAGTCCCTGATAACAATGTTTGGCTCATTCTGATCCATCAAAGGGTCTTGTCGAATTCGTTCTACCTGCAAATCCCTCTGAACGTCATTGATACCTTGTGTTCGAGGCCTCGCAAATATCTCTTGTTCCTTAGTTGGTGTATACTGGGAACGGAAGGCGTGTTGGCTGTTGAACCCAATGGTGATGAGATTGTGACTGAAGGAGGTCTAAACAACAGAGGGATATACTATTTTGTTACACCTGAGGGTGCAAGTATGTTTTTCCTCTTTACAACGCCATAGCTGTCATTTGTAAGTTGATGGCATGTATTCTCTGATCAAGATTTGTCCCGGGCTGTTGAACTTGAGGTCATCAAGACTAGATCACCGGTGTCTGCACGATCTACAAACCATCGCGTCAAATTTCACGCCCAATTGGCGGAGCGTGACATTGGGTGTGTCTGGACAGGAGGTGAAGAAGAAGATGCAGTTGGCTTGCACATCATCCCTTTTCAACGGGGCTCTGAGGTATGTTCTATATTGTTATACGGAGGTACCGTGGTTTACTGTTCCCTTGTTGGCCATTTCAGCGGATTCGCCTTATTGTGGATCGTCGTCCACGCTATGACGAGGATATTACAGATCTCAGAGACATTAATGATGTTCGCAATGGCATGCTCACAAGTCCTCAAATTCATGGCAGGTTTGATCGACGAACTGTAGTCATTCTGAAGGTTTGTCACATATGGTGACGCATTTTTCATTGCCTTATCTCTATCTATCCAATCAGACCCCAAATCCTATTCTCAGTACAGATGATATCCCCCGAGGGCCTGATCGAGAGTATATTCCACCAGGTGCCAATTATTTACTTGGCCATCGCTATACGCTGCAGTCACTCAAGATCATACCGCAACATGTATTGTCTGTCATCCCACACAATAGTGATGCCACTTTCAATGGATCTTCTAACAAGCAGAAGCCATCAGCGCTATTACTGCATTATAATTATGGTGCGGCAGCAGCCAAATTGTGGGGTCATGGCATACAAGTCCTCAAGAACGACAGACAATTTCCTCGTCCACAGCCACCTGGACCAATGCGGCTTGGACCAGCAAGAGGTAGAAATGATCGGAGGATTGCAATTGAGAAGCGCGAACAACGTCGATCTGGGGGCAGTCATGGGGCTAGTGGGGCTAGTGCTGGTCCTAGTCGTGTGGCTGCCGCCGGAGCAGGGTCTCTGGAAGCATTGGAGTCAGAAGGTGAGGAAAGTTGGGATGAGG